ATCCTTGTAACACAGGGCTCGTTCATCATCTTGTATTATTTCATTTCACTCTTCAATATACGTAAATTGGTATTTCACGTAAAAATACGTTCCGTCTGATGTATAAAACATATGTTTTATAAGTATTCACGTTGATTCTATAGTTTTAAACACGTAGTAAGGTTATTGTAACTATCTGACTGTAGGTAGTGTAGTTACGATGGACACAAGATAGGGTAGTTATCATTGTAACAAAAAAACATGATATACTAATAAAAATAGTTTAAAAATTCGAATTTAAATGCCATTTTAATAGTATTTTTTATATTAATTATCAAAAATAAGTAAGCATTAATATCATTGAATTTATATTTTTTAACGTGAGTTTGTATGTTTGTTATGACACGTGAAAAACTAAGTTTTTAACAGAAATGACGTAAATTAAATTTTGATTTCCCCGAGAAAAAAATTCCTTCGAATTTAAAAATCTTCAAAAATCTCCTTAATTGTATATACCAATTGTTTTTTAAATTTTATTTAAAAGCCAATACTTATTATTTATTATTACAACAATATTAGTCACAGTGGGCTTGACCTTACTTGGAGTCAATAAATATCACAAATAGGCTTTTAATTGACAAAAAAAAACCTCTATTTTATAATAATGTATAGCCCTATACATAAAATTTAATTAAATAATGTTAATTATATAAATTGAGCTCTATTCAATACGTCATAAGGATGAGAATCATTTACGTTTCGTATATATACATACATATGGGTAATATATGATTTTTGTACAGAGTTTAAGGCCGCTCTGAGTTTGCGTCTCTGACACCTGTCAATTGACATGAATGACAGGTGACGTACAGTTAGTGACATTAAATATAAAAGAAAGTCGTGTTAGTTACACTATTTACAACTCTAACGGCTGTACGGGTTTGGATGAAGATTGGTGGAGAGATAGATTAGAACATAGAAAGGACATAGAATACTTTACATGCGATTGAAAAATAAAATAAGTTGATCAAATACAAAATCTTATCTACTGTCTTTAAGGAACAGAGTTCGCCCGGTCTATACATTACTAATTATGAAACTAACGCAGACAAAGTTGCGGATAAAAACTAGTATATATACTTAATAATTTAAGTTTAAGTAATTTTCAGTATACATGCAAATTAGTCAAAATTAACCTTTAATTCTCTGAAACCACATAAATTCGAGTCTCAAATTCGACTGAACTCTGTCAAAAACATTCCTAAATTTGACATTACAATATGTCAAATTAAAATGATTCTCCGATTTCTTAGCTATATAACCGTAATATTTATATCAAAGCCGATTGTCAATCGGGTTTTTACACATCGGCGCAACCGATTGTTAGGTGTCCATTGAAATGACCTCGAAATGGTCTAAATATGTAGTTACAGGTCGTGAGAAATCAATAATAATATTATATATGTTTAACCGACTTAAAAATAAAAGTATATTGCATTTAAATAAAATATTGTGTTTGATTATAATCTTAAACTTTCATCCCTATTAATATTATAAATGCGAAAGTAACTCTGTCTGTTTGTCTGTCACGCTTTCACGCCTAAATCACTGAAATGATTTTAATGAAATTTGGTACAGACATAGAGTTGACCTTGAGAAAGAATATAGGATAGTTTTTATCCCAGACTTTTGAAAGGTTCTCTTGGAAACGCGATATAACCAAACTCCACGCGGGCGAAGCTGCGGGCGGAGAGCTAGTTTATAAGAAGGAAAAACTGCATTCTCGTCTTAATGATCACGGTTGCTGAAAAGTAACCGAAACGTCAGGAGTATGTAGTTTGTAATCAAAAATAAACCACGTAGTATATCCAAAAAATATTAGTTTCATATACATTAGAAATCAGAATTATTTGACTAAGTATGTTTGTTCGTCTTTAACTTAAAAACTACTGTACCGATTTTGATGAAACTTTACAGTAATGTAGCTCAGATATCAGAATAAGACATAGACTATGACGTATCCTGAAATACAGCGTTGTTACTGCAGAATCAAGATATATATTACTATATTAAAAATACATAATTTCTATCCAAGTCTGACCCCGAAGTATTTTAAATAAGTATTAATTATTAGACATCGTGACATGAAATAATTAGTTTAAATTTTAATATAACAAATTTAAAGCTACTTGTAAATAGTAATAAACACGAGCGCAGCCGCGCGTCGCACTTGTTAATATTTCTTATCACGTAATTACTAGCCCTTGACACGAATTAACAAATCATTGTTTGAAAGTTAGAATGTTCTTAGTACGAGTGGTATACTACATACTACGCGTTTGGCGTTTTTTAAATATACGATTGATTACCGTTGACGCTACGTATGTAGTACGTACTTATGGTAAGCTATATATACTAGCTGACCCGGCAAACGTTGTTTTGCCATATAAAATATGGGTTGTTGATAAAAAAGTGAAAATTTTGGATTATATGTATTTTTTAATGCTACATTATAAAGATTAAAGAAAAAAAATAAGATTGAACAACCCTTATGACTTAGGGGTATGAAAAATAGATGTTCGTCGATTCTCAGATCTACTCAATCAGCTTACAAAATGTCATCAAAATCGGTGCAGTCGTTTAGGAGCTCTCGAGACACGAGAATTTTATATATAAGACATCAGAATTAAACTATAATTTCCAAGAAAAAATGTATTCTATCTATAATAATTCTAATTATTAGATATTTATGTTCAATTTTATTAATAGTTTTAATACAGGAAGGCATTAATTCGTGTGACAGACAGAACTATTTATAAAGTCAATTAAGATAACCACAAGTTTGCATACACTACATACTTCGCGTTTCTCGTCTCACCTTAGTAATAGTTTTAAATTGGTATGTAATGACGATTTAAAGTAAACCAGTTTTTTAGGTAAAATTATAGAAAAAAAACATTTGTTTTATCATCCATAGCAATCATTGTATATTTTTTGATATAAGAAAATAGTTTTCATTTTCACGATTAAATTACGAGGTTTTAGTATATATTGCATATATATTTATGTTTGAAAGCGTCTATACATAAATATAATTATTATTCTTAACTTATTTTCCAATAAATATTTGCGCCATAAAAATGTTACGTCAAAATATTTTTTTTAATACGTCTCTATTAAAAAAGCAAACGCTCTACATATACAGCCAATGTATAAAAAAATAATTAAATAAAAACTAAACAAACAAAGTCACGGTCCAAGCTATACAGATTCGTAACAATGAGCCGGTGAGGCAATACCGCCTTGACATAATCACCAAGGCCTCATTGACATTGCAGAAATTGTGAAAAACATCAGATTTGAATTTAGAATGATTCGCTTCAAACAGCCGATGTGTGAAAAGGTTGAGCATGGAGGTCGTATATATTTTATTTAATAGCTTTAGGATGCATCAATTGTGTACGGAGTGTTTGTTTTTTAAATTATGTAAGAGTATTTTAAGATCGCAGGTGCATTATATAATGTATAATTAGGTCCCCGATGCCCTGAATGCGGTAGTGTCCAACGTAAGTACACCTGTGTAACCTATATGTTATTTAGTATAGAGGGGTCATTTATATTTGGATATACAGAAAATCTAATAAATTTATTTTGATTATTATTTTTTTCGTATTATTTGGTAAAATATAATAAGTTTGAATAAATCGTACGCGATGTTTACCGATTTACGTATATCCTTTTTGGTCATGAGTTTAAAAAAAAAATCACAGTTCACTGCACTTCCTAACTGGCACTATTTTTATAGACCGCAGCCCGGCGATAGCTTGTTTTGTCCGCGCATGCGCCGTGGACGCGCGTTAAACACTGACACTTCTGCTGTATGCGGACAACCCGACAAAATTAAATATCCACATCCTTATATCGAGAGCGGCGACTGAAACGACCTTCCTATTTGTTTGCATTATACCTAACATGTAGCTGACTATAATACGACCGAATTGGAACACCCATTTTAATTTACCACAACAAACTGATCGCGGACTTTTTAATTCGGTTGTATTATAACTCACATGTAGCTGATTATGATGCTGATAAATTAAAACGTCACATTTGTTATGACATTCCATATTGATGTAGAACATTTTAATTTGTCCGTCACACATTTCACGTGTAACCCAGTTAATTTAAACGGCGGGCGTCCGTACTTCTAACAGGTGGAGACTCGTATATACAAAATGGCTGATTTGTTTTTATAATTGTCGCGCGTTATCTATTTATAAATAGGTATAGAGAATGTCAGATGTATTTTTTTTGTTTTGTTGTTGTTTTCAGTGCGTTACGTCATTCCAAGATTGAATATACATGAAATGTAATATTTCAGACTTTATTTAGTATTGCGTTAGATAGTGACTTAAACCTACACCTGGGTTAAGTCCCAGTCACTGTTGAAGCTCCTCTCACTACAACGATGGACCCGACACACGCACCGTGAATATATTGAATGATAAGAGGTTTCGTCTCTATATACATAATATATATATATATATATTTCTGCCGAGCGATACAAGTACGTATTATCAACTAATATTATGCAAGTAGGCTATGTGTGACCAAGGTCGCGTATACAAAACTTGCACGTAACAAAACATGAATATAACTACAAACAGAACTCGCGCCATTAATAAACCGATAGTGATTAAACTTTTACGTAATATGTAACTTTTTAGGTCTGAGAATCGATCATCATCTATTTTTCATACTCCTAAGTCATAGTTGTTCACCCTTAATTATTATTTTTTTATATGGCAAAACAATGTTTGCCGGGTCAGCTTGTATATATAAATAAACAAATCCTCTCATCATTCCATATATTCACAGTGCGTGTGTCGGGTCCATCGTTGTAGTGAGAGGAGCTTCAACAGTGACTGGGACTTGTGACCCAGGTGTAGGTTTAAGGGACCCCTATCTAACGTTAAACGCTCACCTCCACCGTACAAGCTCCTCTCTCTACTATAATATACCTTTCAAATGTTCCGAAGTATCCGCCCTCATGATGTCTGTAAGGTAATGCTCCAAAGACCTCATGTTGTCTAAACCTCCTCGGTCCTGGAAAAAAAACATATGTATGTATGTATGTTACAAATAAAACCTAAACTAATACTATGTATATCTATCGATAGATATACATAGATAGATATATTACATGTAAAATATGTAAGAAATATATTCTTCTTCTTCCTGGCAATTTCCCTTTAGCCAGGGTCTGCCTTATATGTTGTGAATAGTTTTGGCTAGTCGTTTGTACGACCGCCCGCCTGCCTGACATCAACCCTCTTTGGGGATGCATTAATCAGTGATGTCTAAATACTCCTATAAAGTACATATGACTCGGAAAAATAACCCGGTACTTGCCAGGATCGAACCCGCGCCCTCGTGCATGAGAGGCGGGCCTTTTAACCACTAGGACACACCTGACTTTTTAGTTTACACATCTATATATAGTTTTATATACTGTTAATGAAAATTCAGTAAAAAAATATTGATTAAAGTATGTATAGAAGAGCGTAGTTCAAATTTCTAGCTTCTCCCAAACTCAGACTATCGTGGGTACAAAATTTTATTAAAATCGAATTAGTCTCAATTGACAAATATATATAGTTAGTATGTTTGTCTAACTGGCAGACCCTGGCTAATACTGGGAAATGGCCAGGAAGAAGAAGAAGTATGTTGGTTTAATCTCAGTAACTACTGGTTACATTTACGTAATACTTTCAGTGACACTGTTTAATGAAGACTACTGGTAAACTTAATTTCTAATTATATTGTAATCGTTCAAATTTGTATGTATGTATGTTGCTCTTTCACTCGAAAACTATTGAACAGATTTTGATGAAACTTTCACAGTAATGTAGCTTAGATATCAGAATAGGATATAGGCTATAACTTATCCTGAAATAAAATTCAGTAAAGATTCAGTTTCCATTTCGCCTTTATAACAACGTAAAAAAATCCCAAAGAAAATTATCTACAATATTATTATACGAAATATTCCAATTTTTAACAAACTAGTATACTAAAATAAATGTCAAAAAACATCAAAACATTATATTAAAATCCTTTATAATATTTAAATCTATAAAAATCACGTGGTTTCAAGAACTTGACAACAGCGATGACGTAGCAATGACGTCATTATACGAATGACGTCATCGATCAATAATCCGATGGCCGTGCTGTGAAAATGAACGATATAGAATGATTATAATATAAAGGAAAAAAATAGTACTTTTTTATATTTGAAAGTCTTTTCATAATTTTTGCATTCTACCCTACAGCTACGTATCGATTACTTTATGGCAGGCGGGATCATGAACTTACGAAAACTCAAGAAAATATAGAAAAATGTAATATTTATATGTATTTAATTACAAAAATAGTATTAAAACTAGAAAAAAATGTAGTGTTGATAGGAAATATTTAAACTTCGTCATCTTATATCCGCTCTACAAATTTCAAGATTAGGAGAATCATATAAAAAAATATATAACATTCTTTGGTATTTTAATAAATGTGTATACATATCTTCTCATTCTGCCTGGCAATTTCCCAGCTTTAGCCAGGGTCTGCCTTACACGTTGTAAATAGTTTTGGCTAATTGTTTTTATGACCGGCCGCCTGTCTGACATCAACCTTCTTTGGGAATGCATTAATCAGTGATGTCTAAATACTCTCAGAAAGTACATATTACTCGGAAAAATCACATTGGTACTTGTCAGGATTGAACCTGAACCCTCGTGCATGAGAGGCGGGCCTTTTAACCACTAGGACACCACTGACTTTACATACATATGTATATATATTTATTAATTATATGGTATGTAGGGAGTAAGGCTGGAACGAAAAATCCTTAAAATAGGCTAACCTTTGACCTTAAAGTCAATAAGTAAAGTCAATAGTAATGAAAGGATTTGTTAAACTAAACTGTTATTCATAAAAGGTACAAAAGCAGAAAGAAATAGTAATAATCTAATTTTTATTAAAATCTTTAAAATGTGGAATTATTTTGAAACAAGACTGAGTGATATATTTAATTTAAAAAGCTAAAATTAATATCCTTATTATTTAATATATCATCCAGTGAAAATTACGACAAAATCGGTCCAGCCATTTCACAGGTACATTAAGACAGACAACTTTTTTTAAATATATTACATTTATATATCGTATTTTCCTTCATTCATATCGTCCTATAATAATTAAATATTAATACAAACGTATAAAAAATATCTTTAATTAAACAATTCCTTATAACCCACAAATAAATGATACCAATTAATGCAAGTACCAATGTGATTTTTCCGAGTCATACGTACTTTCTAAGAGTATTTAGACATCACTGATTAATGCATTCCCAAAGAGGGTTGATGTCAGGCAGGCGGCCGGTCGTAAAAACAATTAGACAAAACTATTCACAACATGTAAGGCAGACCCTGGGAAATTTCCAGGTAGAAAAAGAAGAAGAAATGATACAAATTAAGTAAAAAATAACTTATAAAACAAAGTTATTCCACATTAAAAAGTCCCTAAAACAGCCGAATTCGAGCCAAAACTATCAAATCTAAGTTGAGCCCTAACAATTAACTACTATAATGTAACCCAAGCTCAACTTAGCCCGGCCACCTACTGGCCTACTTTGACTTACGCAGTGTGACGTCACAAGCAGCATTGCGCTATACCAATGCTAAAGAAAAAACAATCTTAATACCAACATAATAGGGTAGAAAATTAATTGTACAGAACTAAAAGACGATTTTACTAGCAAAATATATGAATGCTGGCTGCTCTGCCAGCTATAGAGACGAAATTCGATGTTTTTATAACAAACTAGGACAAACTGCAGTGCGATTTTCAAGCAAATGGCATTTAATTAGTTTATTCATTATATTAGACAGTGATTTGACTCAAATGTATGTCAATAGCATAGTATTGATTTGATAGAAAAGTTTAGGGTAGATGGTGTTTTGATAGTAATGATAAATATCGATATATGTATATAATTAATACGAAAAATGTGTTAATTATTTCTTTATATACAACATACAGAATATAAAATGAATATTAAATATAATATACGTATATTTTTCTTTTATTTTATAAAATAAATTATGTATTTTCTCCGATCTATATGAAACAGAAAAACATTTAACCAATTACAATTAATTAAAATTTCCAACAGTTTAATTACAATTAAATTAAAATAATACATACAGTACATAAAAAAATAATTTCACTTTGATTCGAACCCACGACCTATGAATAATTTCATTGCACTTACTTCACCAACTGCGCCATCGTGTCCTTACTCAAATTGATCATGCTTAAAATCTTAATCCCCACTAATATTATGAACTGATTTTAATGAAATTTGGTACAGACATAGAGTTGACCTTGAGAAAGAACATAGGATAGTTTTTATCCCAGACTTTTGAAAGGTTCTCTTGGAAACGCGATATAACCGAAGTCCACGCGGGCGAAGCTGCGGGCGGAGAGCTAGTTTTTATATAAATTTAATATTAACAGTACTTAAAAATCCAGTTAGAGCTATGTATATTCTCCAAGAATATCTATTTTCTTTAAAAGTTATATCAAAATTGATTTAGTAAGGTGTTAAGCAAAACTTTTATTTCAGATGCATTGCTTCTTAAGCATCTGTTAAGCAAGCCTACAGGTTAGCTGAGTGTATCTGACACATATTTGTACAGCTGTAAATATTATTTTGTTTGTATTTAATTTATTATAATTAGTTATGTATTAATATTTGATAAATACGGTATTTTTGTGCTGATGATAACAATGAGGAAGGTATAAAAATTAAATTCTTTATATATATAAAGATATATGTATATTTATAAAACTCTTAATTATATAGAATACAAAAAATTAGGGAATATTTTGAAACTTCTGTAATAATCTACTGCGATGTTTATCTTTTTAACATATACATATAAAAACACTTAAATACTATATTTTAAGAGTAACTTACATTAACATATCGTCAAAATGATACACATTTTAAGATAAGGTATTCTTTAACTTAAAAGAAGAAGTATTGATTCTACATTTTTAATGAAGATTTAATGCTTAAAATACAAATTAATTTTCTTACCAAAAAACATGTCTTGAAAGAAATTTCACATAATATTTAATATTTCAAACCTGTTGTTCTTACCACGAGTAAATGTTACTACATACGCAGAGTTAAAAGTTTTCTTATTACATGTCACTGATTACTGACAGTTTCAACGTGGATGTTTCCATCGTCACTACATAGCGTTAATAGTTCTTCATCCATAACTCATATTATTTTGAGATGGTAGATCCTAGCTGTGGTCAAGTTACTACAGCTCGAACATGTTCTGTCTCGACCGTAAGTACCACCCTCTCACAGAAGATCGGCGTGAAGTAGTCTTTAATGGCTGCTTTTTGTATGATGAGTGAGAAAGACGGTAGCCCTTTCCCTTTCCCTTTTCCCATACTTTCCTTCTCCTTCCCTTTTCCCTCCCTTTTCCACTTTTCCTTCCCCTTTTCCCTAAAAAAGACTGTCGACACATCCACAATATCTTTTAAGTTACGGATGTCCATGAGTGATTGTACTACCTCCATCAGGTAGGCCGTATGCTCAGTTGCCGCCATTAGAATAAAAAATATTATAATATTATTGTAGATTATTAAGAAATAAGAAACTTTTGATAAGCATGACAATGTAAGCCCATTAACGTCGAAAGAAAAACGCTTTAAAAAACTTAGTTATATTATAAATGAGAAGAATATGACAATGAGAAACCTCTCATCATTCCATGTATTCACGGTGCGTGTGTCGGGTCCATCGTTGTAGTGAGAGGAGCTTCAACAGTGACTGTGACTTGCGACCCAGGTGTAGGTTTAAGACGTATATATGTATGTTTGTTGGTCTTTAACGTGAAAACTACTGAACGAATTTTGATGAAACTTTACAGTAATGTAGCTTAGATATCAGAATGAGACATAGACTGTGACGTATTCTGAAATACAGCGTTGTTACTGCAGAATCAAGACATAAATTGCGA